TGGCTCAGATCGCAGGCTCCTCTGGCGTGACCACATTAAGGAGAGTGGGGTGGGCACAGGGAGCCCGCAAGACCTAGGGCACCCTGGCGTGGAGGCCGGGCTGTTCGAGGGGTGCCGGGCGGGAAGCCAGTCCCCAGCCCAGCGAGTGGTCTGGCCTTTTGGTCGGCAGGGCGTGGTGCCTCTGCTGGTCCCAACACCGGCCACCGCGCAGGTGGGCGGCGCCCCCTGGTGGTAGACTGCGACTCCAGGGCGCGGGGAAGGAGCCCTGTCCATCTCGCCCAGCTGCCGGGACCCGCTAGGAGGCGCCGCTTTGCAGAACTCACGCCGCTTTGCAGAACTCCCTACTTGTGCCTTATGGCAGAAGCCAAAGGGAGGGAGCCGTGACCGCAGCCAGCTGTGCCTCAGTTTCCTCGTCCGTGAAATGACAGGATAATTGTGTCTCGGGGGTGTGGTGAAGATTCAAGGAGATGTATGTAAATGATTTGTGTGTTCTGAATTTTTAATGCACTCAGGGCTGCAGCAGCCTTCCTGATTTTCATGGGTCTGGAGAGGCGGTCCAGGTTAAAGAGGAACCATGTGAAAATTGCATCTGTTCTTTCCCAGCATGAACCCAAGGGAAAGCTTCTGCCTCATCTGAACCCTCCTCCCCACCTGCCCAGTTCCTCTTCTGTAAGCTGGTGGTCGGGAAGTGTAAGGAGGATGAAATCTTAAATATTTCTTTCTGTATCTTAAACAAATATTTATTCCTTTCTGAGACCCCTGACATCCTTTTCATGGATTTGGTGATTGGATTTAAATGGGGATGCTTGCACATTGATGGACCCACAAAGCAAAGGGAGGGGGTTGTAAACACATGGAGGTCCTGCATAGAAGCCCTTTTGAGTTAGCTGCCCCTCTCTGCCAGGAGTCTGAGCCATTTTGAATTCCAGTTCCATGCCTGCAGAATCCCAGTTCTCTCAGCTGCAGAGAAGCAGGTGGGAGAGGATGGGGAGGGTGGTGATAGAGCAGCTCAGCCCCTTTCTGGTCAGGTGCTCCAAGTGCCACAAGGTGGGGAATCCTGGGAGTGTGCTGGGGAGGGGTGGGTGTGCTTGAGAAGATGGCTTCTCTGGGTGTAGCATGGCCCACCCAGCACTCTCTCCCATATAGACTCTAGGAGGATCTTCTGAGCTAGCAATACCTTCCTGGAACTGGTCAGCTGGGACTCTAAGGCCATTCTGCAGACATTCATGGGCAGTGCACCAACCCAGAAGCCAGAACAGACTGGTCCCACTTCTCAAAGCCTGGTGTAAGTCAGCCCTAAAGACACTCTAGCGCCTGAACCTGACCCCTCTTCTGGCCTTACTATTGATCTCCTTCATGTGTCCTGGCCAGTGTGTCCTCAGAATGATCCTCCTTACCTCTGTCTGTTTCCTCTACTGGAGTCTTCTCCTGCACCTTTGACCTTCTTAAAATCCAGCCCAAGCCCCTTCTCTTGATGGCTCAGCTGAATAGCTCACAGCACCCTGTGTTTATTTCTTATGAGCCCTGGAAGGGCCGGGAGCATGTATTCATCATGTCCTTTCCTTGCACACATCAGGTACTAAATGAATGCAGGAAAGCATGAGCGACAACTGGAAGGGTCTTTGTTTTCTCCAACTGCAGGTTTGATGGTCACCATGACTTCACAGGGCTGGTGGGAGTGCTGGGTGGGATTCCTCCACTGCAGATCAGGCCTCCTGCTCCTCCTCATGAACTCTGCTCAGCCAGCTGTCCTCCTCTGGGCTCCTCAGACTTCCTATCCTTTATTTCTGTGTCCCAGCAAACCTCGGCCACTGAAGATGTCCTTTTCCTGACCCTGCATCTGTCTCAGCCACCGCCCATCTCTGCCTCCTCAGATCCAATCTTCCCCACTTCCCACCCCCCTGAAGACAGCCATGGCTTTGCCTGGATATTATCTCCTCATTTTGGGGGGCTGATCATTGAGGCTTTCCTGACTATATGCTCTACTCCCTCTTCAACAGCTGGATAAAGCTGGTTTAAGCGTCTCAGTGAGCAGCTGAGTCCACCCAGGTTTGCTCCCCATGGTAGAGGATTCTGGTGCTTATCCACATCTGTTTTTTTTTTTCTCTCTCTGAACACACAGGATTATCATGCTTCCCCACCTCCATGGCAGTGGATACAGCCATGTGACAGACTCTGGCCAATGGACTAGAAGCAGAGTGAAGTGTGTTCCTTCTGGACCAAAGAGCCTGCTTACCCACCCAGGAGACCCTCCTCCCCTGCCTCATCGATCCTGGTAGCATGATGAAATGAGACCTCCAGGGTCCAAGAATTGTGCTTTACTGAGTCACCCTTGGAAACCTTTGTCCTGGAATGTCACCCAGACCTGCCATGGACTTTGTGTGAGCAAGAGATATAAACTTGTGTTGTGTCACGGGACTGAGATTGGTGAAGTCTGTTATAGATGCATAGCCAAACCTCCCCTGGCTGATTCACTGATGAAAAGGGCCTGTTAAAATGAATGGATGGCTTGGCAAACTGTACAGACCCATGCACATTTCTTACCGTGATCCAGATGTAGCATGTGCCTAGGGAGGCAGGGACTTCAGCAAGGTGGTGAACTCTGTCGTGTGGCCACACTGCAGGGCTGGGACTGGGGGCAGGGAGTGGCTGAACGGGCAGGGTGTGTCATGGGAGAAAGGCTTTCTCTCATTTATGATTTGCCAAGGGCTTGCCCAGGGCCTGTTTACATATTTAATCTCTGATGAAAGGTTATAATGAATCTGGAACTATTGGCAAGAGATGGACATTTCTCCTAGGTATTTAGTTCCTGTGGTTGTGAAAGAGGAATTTGTCTCCTGAATTTGCAGGGTGTCTCTCTCTCTCTCTCTCTCTCTCTCTCTCTCTCTCTCTCTCTCTCTCATGCATATACACAAATGCACAGAGCTACTGCCAACCTCTCTGGGAATCTGTAATACAATATTTTAATATCAATCTGATTCTAGCTGGATTCAGGCCCCTGCTTAATTGTCTCTCCATCTTTGAGAGTGGTTGAAGAAAATCACAATATGGCTTTGTTTCGTAAGCAAGAATCTGCTAACCAGTCACCAGATGGGGGTGTTCCCTTGAAGGTCTGCCTGCCTGCAGAGTTCCCAGAGCCTTCTCTTTTCATAACCTTTTCCTCTTTGTCCCCTTTCTCCATGACTCTCCCTTAACTCCTTTTGCAGCAGGCCCGAATGGGCCCTATTTAATGAATAGTCATAATGTTCTTGTGCTGCACGAATAGGAAGTGGGTGGATTCCCCACCTCCGTTTCCTATCGAACAGTGCCCTAGAGATTCCTCCAGCTCCCTCCCATGGGTCGGTGACCTTCAAGGGGAAAAGAGGCACTTATTTAAGTGCACCCCTCAGCTTCAGAAAGACTCAGTAGGGGAGATGAGGTTGCAACAGGCAGAGAGAGCTGGAGAGCTTGGTTCGAGTCCGGCACTGGCAAGCTATTATTTGTGTGAAGTGGGTCACAGTGGTTATGTCCTTGATTATAGATTCCTCCTATTTAAATGGGGCCTTAAGACCAGACAGGCTGGCCTCCATCGTGAATGAGGCTATGGTGAGGATCCTCCAGAGAGGGCTTTGGACCAAAGGATAATTGATGAAGATATGGCATTTGGTTCTCACTGCATTTTTTCCTCTCTTATTCCAGGAAGTGTCAAAGAAGGACAGATAAAGAAGAAGAAGGAGGAGGAGGAGGAGGAGGAGGAGGATGCCCCTGTAGACCCTTCCTTTCATCCCTCTCTTGTTCATCCCACATGGGGCTGGACTATATAGGGAGCAGACAGATGGAGTAGAGCAGGGGAGTGGGCTTCCTAGGACTGGGCAGGGGAGGGAGAAGTGGGGAGAGGGTCTAGCTATGGGTATGCCCAGGGAGTGACCCTAGCCCTGGGTCAGCCTCTGCAGGGTTTCCAGGCTCAGTGGAGAAGCAGGGCCATGAGGAGGCCTCAGACTGGGAAGGGACCAAAGACCTACCGTGGCCTTCTTAAATGCCTAGGACCTTGGGATGGCTCTGGGAGCTAGTCCCAAACAGAGTTGATATTGAACTTCCAGCCAGTCAGCAGGATGGGGGTTGGACATCCGGCTCAACTGATTTAAAGAGATAATTATAACAAGCTTGTGGACAGAGAGTCCCTCTCTCAGGACTGATAGGAGCCTGATCTACATGTGAGCTTGTTTTGGGGCCTGCTTGTTCCTGGTTGCAGCCATTCAGGAGATGGGACTCCCTGGTTTCCCTTCACCTTATAAGGCCTATCCGACTATACGTTTTTCAGTGGACAAGACTCAGATGCACTGATGATCCCAGACACAGGGTTTGAGGACCACCCACATTGGCCTTGTGAGAGAGGCCAGTGAAAGTGCCATTCATGGGTTCCCCAGAGAACCACCTAAATAGTCTCTCAGGCCGTGTGGAGGGTGTTCAGGACCCACATTTTAACAACACCCTCTATAAGCATCTTACACCCAAGGAATTTTTGGTTAAGTTTTGGTCTAGGAGTAAAATGAAAGTGATACCATTATATTTTCTGCTAGCATTTGAGAGGAAAGATTTGCTGGGCAGTAGTAAGTGGTCAATTGTGATTATAATATTAATTCTGTCCTGCATCACAGATATAGCTGTTCATGTTCTACCCCACTTCTAGGTGTAAACTCAAGGGCAGATTAGGCCTCTCCAGGGCCTGGTACCATAGACCTTTAACAGTTTTCTGCAGAACTTCACTGGTACCTGCTCAGGACCAACTGACAGGTTGAGAACAGCAGTACCTTCAATGCCACTGGCCATGGGTTCAGAGGGCCTAGGCACGGATACTTCCTCTGTCTAGAAGGTGCAGGTTCTGTCTCTTCTTGGATAGATGTATGTGAAACAGCACAAATTCATGACCAAGTTACATCACTAGTAAAATCATAATATATTCATAGCAATATAATAGAATAAAGGATTAGGAGGGCAACGGATCTTCTAGAACCTGAAGGTTGACATTCATTGTTCATGAGCTCAGGTGAAGGCAGCACCTTGGGAATTTGGTTAAATTGTAGCGAGAAAGACCAGGGTTAGTCGGAGGAAACCGTTTTCCCAAGCAGAATCATTGCAAATGCTGAAACTGGCCCCTGAGGTGGCCTGGAGCCTCCTTTCCTGAGTGAGATCTGTGGAAATAAGGCTGGTGGCTTTGGAAAGAGGGCTGTCTGTCATAGTGGCTTCCAGAAGACATGAGTCTCACAGCAGTTGGGCCACTGACACAAACTGCTGACTTGAGACCTTTCCAAAGGTGGCTTCCACTATGCTGCTGGAAGGGGGGTCTTCCAAGAGGAGCAGCACCAAAGGTCATGCACGGCAATGACCAATGCCCAGCTGCTCTAGGGGACACAGTGAGCCGGTTCTCCATCACACAAAGGACAAGGTGCAGAGTCAGTCTGGAGGGGCCGTGGATGGCACCAATGGTCATGTCAGTATCCTTCTTACCGATCTTGGGTACTTGCTGTTCTTGACAAGCATGTGTGTCCCCTCCATGCATTGTCCACACTGCCCATGAAGCACACACTCTGGGAGAAGGCCCTGGTGTACATGGAGGGAGGTGAGGTAAGATCTGAGGCAAGCTCCCTGGAGAACCATATACTGGCACTTCCCAGCACAACATCGGTCTCCAATAAATAGAGTAATCCATGAAGGCCTCCTCCGTTGGCCTCTACCTCTGACCTCCATCACGTAGCAGCAGCGTCTCCCAGCCCAGGCCCACCGAGGGTGCTCGCTCCTCTGGAGTGAGCGAGAAGAGGCTGAGAGGATGTGGAGGATTATAAGCAGGTCTGAAACCAGGGAAGTCAACTTTGCCTGCTTCGGTTTTGTGCCTGCAGCTTGCCATTCAGGTGGGGTGACCGTTGACATCCACTCTGCTCTATTACTTGGCCGTGCTGCCATCTCAGAGCCTCTCTCTCCACTCCTCGGCCACGGGCTGAAGTCCAGATGGGGAAGTCCATGTGAAACCCCTTCTTCTCCTCCCAGGCAAGTGTAGGGAGGGCCTTCCTGTTACTCTGAGATGAGGGGAATCTCGTCCCCACTCTGAGATCGAGACTGTGACATTTCAGGCCTTCAGCGTATGTGACTTTCTTTGCTTGAAATGTAACCCCAGGAAGACAGAGATAAACACAATGCAGGTCCAGGGACACAAAGGGTTCAATATGAGCAGCACTGGGAGGACCCATCCTCAAGGCGTCTTCTGCCTGCTCTGGTGCCAGAGTGCGGGCACTGGAGAGGGATGGTGCTTCCCAACATGGCAGCCTCCCAAATGACCTCTGTGGCAGGAAGTGAGGATAAAGGGAGCCAGCCCCTGCTGGTTCTATACTATGCTGAATCCAGATGTGGAGGAGGTTATAGCTTCCCCCTCCCCTAGCCTAACTCGGGTTATGAATAACTCAGCCACTCTCTCCTTCCTTCCATTCTGCTTCTCTGTGGGGGTGTGGGCAGTCAGAGGAGAGTCAGATGGCTTAGGCACACCCCACCCCCCCAGGGCTGGTGAGGGGCAGGGACTGCCTAAGTGGGCATCCTGGTTGGAGGACCCATGGCTAAGGAGAACCTGGGCATGTGGGGGCTCCTTCCAGGGAACCAGGGGGAGAATGGATCCTCCATCTCTGTGCCTACCTGGTGGTCCTACCCAGCCCAGGTGTATATGTCAGCTCTTAGAAGCCATGGGAGAGGCTTTGGGAGGAGGACACAGGGAAGGCAAATAGTGGCTGGTGTTTTCTTTCTTATTTAAAAAAACAAAAAGGCAAAGATCTGTTAACATTAGTAAAGGCAGGCAGGGGTGGAGGAGGAGGCAGGGTCCACTGTGGAAGAGGGCGGTGGTCCGGGGGGAGCCGAAGGTCAGACAAGGCCCGCAGCCTTCTCCTGCACATTGTACTCCCTGTTCTTCTTTACCCTCCAGCTGATGAAGAAGAGCAGCAGCGTGCCCAGTGCCTTGTAGCCCACCTGCAGGCCCAGGTAGCTGTGGGACAGGAGGAGACAGGAGCAGTGAGGTAGCTGGCCACACTGTAGCTGGGCTGAGCTCCTTGGAACCCACCACCCTGGATCTCTGCTAGGAGTTTCTCTCCCTTTCCAAAGCCACAGTCTCTCCCTTTAACCAACTTCTTTCTATGGCTACCTGCCCCTCTCTACCCCTCAAGGGCCTGTGGGGTCAGCATACTCCGGGACTATGGTTTCCACAGCTCCCTACAGGCCCTGAAATGCCTGTCACAGTAACCCTGCTCCCTTCCCATGGCAGGACCTACAGAGTGGCCCCTCGGAGCCCTGACAAGCCCCCACCACAGTCGCCAGACCAATGACCATTCTTTGCTCTTTGCCTAGCCTTCTGGATGCACACGCAGGCAGGGCCCTCACCTGTCCCGGAGAGCATCGTTGTCATAGTAGGCACAGGCCCCTCGCCTCCCTGAGCACTGGTAGTTCCACCGGATGCAGGAGTAGTCAATGGTGAGGCCATAGAGGGCTGGAGACGGCAGCCAGGCTGGCAGCAGCGGGGAAGAAAGTTCAGAGAGCCCAGGTCAGGTGGAGCCACAAGCAGAGGTGCCAGCAGGGTGGGGCGCTACGCTCACTTCAAGGTTCACACAGGTGAACAGCTCTGCCTGCCCCACCCATGGGGACCGCAGTGGCTTTGAAAAGCAGAATAACTATCAGCGAAGCCTGAATTTCTCTTTTCACCAGAAGGCTTAGGAGATAAAAGGAACCCAGGCCATCCTTTCTGGGCAGAATGAATCACAGGGTCACCTTGATGCCAGCTCAGACATACAACATAGTTCTCATGCCCGAGGTTGGCCCTAGGTAAAGACGTGGACTCCCCAGGTCCTCACATAGTCTCATGAAATAAGGGAAGGTAAGCTTGGTCTGTTCACTGTTCCAGGACCAAAGGGGCTCAGGACTGGACTCTTGAATCCCTATTTACCAAGGTTCAAATCCCATGTTCTTTCTCCATGACTTTACATTGTCCTATTGGGTCAGACAGGATCCCTGGAAGACCTGCCACACCATGTCCCCAGAAGCTGCATGGCAGCAACTTGTGCAGCAGACACTGTGTCTTACTGCTGTGCCTTTTCATGTTGAGCATTTTGGATGCCCACCCCCATCCCACCCCCACTCTGTACCATTAGGTCAAATGCAAGCAGCCACTGGCCTGGGAGGGGAAAGAAAGAGGTGCTATGTACTGGTGGCCCCACCCATGAGTGGGAAACTTCCAGAAGTGATCTCTCTAATTAGAACCTGCTCACTACCCAGTCTCCAAGGGAACAGGGAGAGAGAATCTGCCCCAAAAGATTGGCCTCCAGTGATCCTTTCCTATACAGAAATGAAATCCCGAAAAATGTTCAAACAAATCCCAGTGGGTAATTATAAACCTACTGCAGTTTACAAACAGGGAGTCTTTTGGTCTGTCCCAGAGTGGAACTATATTCTCCAGCGATGAATGGAATCTCTCCTGGTCTGGGTTTGCTGACCATGGCTCTGTATCGAGTTTTCTGAGCTCAGATGGAAAAACTAAAGCAGCAAAGGCTTTGAGCAGTGGGAGAGAGTGGCCATTTTTCTTTTCTTGCTTGGTGGTACTGGAGATTGAATCCAGAGCGGCTCAGCCATTGAGCCATGTCCCCAGTCCTTTTTTATTTATTTATTTTTTATATTTTGAGATACCTCACTAAGTTGCCCAGGCTGGCCTCAAGCTTTGCAATCTTCCTGCCTCAGCCTCTGTAATCACTGGGAATATAGGCATGGATCACTGTACCCAGCAAGGGTGGCTATTTTAAAGGTCACTGAAAGAATCAGGGGCAGGGCTTATAGGAGCCTGTCCCAGCAGCTGGTTGGATGGAAGGAATCAAGGTCTCCCTCCCAGCAGAGACGATAGAGCCTTGGCCAGGAGGACAGGGCACCCTGCATCTTGCATATTTATAATACAGGTCACAAGGCCCGGAGGGACTCCACAAGGACAAGAGGAACCAGTGGTATGAGACATGAGGCCACGAAATCCCACTAAAAAAGCTGGTTCATTTCTCATCAGTATCTCCAGCTGGGCTGGATTCCTGCTCAGCCCACCCCAAAAAGGACATGGCCAATACCCAGTGGCAGCCACTGCAGGGTAAGGTCTGGACCTGGCCCCCAGGGCTAACATGCAGAGGGGACTGCACAGTGTTACACCTTGATAGCAATGAAGACCCCCTCTTTGGAATCCCCACGTTCCCCCCTGCAGTTTCCACCCACCGGGTCCTTAATAGATCCATCCTCAGTTGAAGGGACCCTCAGTCCCTTTCCTTCTATTTACCTGTATCTCCAGGGTCCCACTTGTGTGCCTTGTGTTAATCTAGTGCATGGATGTGTCAAAAAGGGGCAGCCCAGTGTGAGCAGTCCAGGAAAGAATCTCACTCGGGGAGCGCTGGGTGCCACTGCTCCCTGTGGGCAGCTTGCCCTCCCCGTAGGGCACTGTTGATCACTTGTACACAGCTGGATTCCTCCAGGGGGCTCTGGGGCTGTTGGACAGGCAGGGTTCACAGGCAAAAGACCCCGCACAGAAGAAACATTGGCTGAATAGAGGTAGGAGGAGGGACTTTTTAAAATGGGAAGAAAGCCAGGGCTGGGTTCAGCTGCTGTTTGATGAAGGGCAGGAATGTAAGGTTTTTGTTCCTACGACAAATTCTTGGAGAAAGGTTTAAAAATACCTGCTGTTAACTCTCCAGGAGGTATTCTCAGCTGTGTCCATTTTTCCTTTTTGGAATTCATGTCATGGATGGAATCTTTCCTAACCTCAAGCAATCAGGGGAACGTCCATGTGGGGTTTAGCCATCTGCTGTTAATTATGCACAGTTTCTGTGTGCACTGGAGATGAGATGGGCTACCCCCAATCCTTCCCCACTCCCCATAACCCCTGAAAGCCCACAGCCCAGGTCCACTACTCAGAAAGGGGGCTCTAAGATACTCACCCAGCAAGCGCATCAGCAAGAACTGCACCCCGATGGCAAATGACTTTTCTTCCTGGTTCACCACACTGAAAAGGCAGACAGGAGATTAGTAGTGCAAAGATTCGGGGCTGCACCATGCCCTGGTCAGAGGGGCAATTATCCTTGGAGTGGGACCAAAGCTGCCCTCATGTGGCCCGAGAAGCCATCTGGCCAACTGGATTCACCTGGGCTGAATGTCCTGCTGTTATACTGGTGGTTCTCAGAGCATATTCCTAGATCAGCACTTGTTAGAAATGCAGGTTCTTTGGCTCCAGGGCTAGTGTATGGATGTGCCCAGAAGAGACAGACTTTGGGGAGGGGGAGAGAGATCTGTGCTTTCACAAATCCTCTAAGAGATTCCAATGCAAGCTCACATCTGAGAATCACTGGTCTAGGTGATTTTTCAGGGATGCCCGCTTTAAGAGAATGGGAGCAGGAGAGACTAGGAGGGAAGAATTGGTGGCGGAGGATTTTACGGCAGCAGGTCTGAACAACTCCCAGAGAGTGTCTGATACCAGGAAAAGACAGCCCTGGTATAATTAGGGCCCCTGGGCTGTTGGCTACTGTGCACAACTGAAAGAATTCTTTACCCCAGGCCAGCTTTGTGGGCGTGTGACCTGCAGTGCAGCACAGGAGTGCTCCACCCTCAGAGAGGCCCGTGCTTGTTCTAATGGTCGGCTGTGGCTGTCCTTAAATTACATTTTCACTTGCACTAGGTCCTGCAAATTAGATAGCTAGTCCTGTTCCCACCTGACTCCTTCCAGAGGGGAAGTGCGTTTGGCTGAAGGAGGTTCAGAAAGAGGGTGGGTGGCCCTGCCATCCCAGCAGCGGGGATGGAGCAGAGAGGAGCAGGAACTGGCCTCAGAGGCATCTGTTGACTGCCTGGGTTCTCTGTGCGGTCAGCGCACACTCCTGGAGGGTGCTTGTTGGGAGAAAAGCATGGAGGGCTGAGGATATAGTGAGGAAGGGAATCTGCAAGGAATCCCACTTCCCTCTACAGTTTGTTTTGATCCCACTACCAAAGTTCTCCTAGCAAAGGGAAAGGGACCTCATTCCAGACCCCTGGAGGGATGGCCCAGGGAAGGGATACTTACTGGGGTGTAGGCAGGAGAAAGAGGCACCATCTGGGATCCCCTCAATGGAAAATATCTCAAACCCTGATCTAATTTATGCTCCCTTTAGCCTATAGAGCCCTAAATGGCCCAGTCCATAGGAGAGGCACCCTCTTGATCTTTGTCCCCACCCTGGCCAGACTCTCCCAGATTCTTAACTTACAAGACTTGGGAACCCCAGTTTGACTTTTGATTGAGATCCTAGTGCCCACCTGCCTTACTCCTGCCCCATTTGGCCCTGAATCAGTGCCGGCTTTCTGACCACTCTCTCCTTCCACATTTGCCCCCAAGCCTCTTTTCACATGCCTGGCTGGGGGCTAGGACTAAGAGAAATCATGCTCGGGGCACCTGTGGTCACCTTAAGTCTCACCTTCCTGACAGTAAATAGCATCCATTCTGTCTTCCTTCCCGGGGGTGGGGGGGTGGGGGGTGGGATTTATCTTTAAACCATCATGGGATCCTCAGATCTCCTGTCTAGTTTTACCCTAGACCCTGACCAGGCTTGGAAAGGAGAGATTTTTCTAGAAAAGCCCATCTTGGGGTTGAAATAATGCTCTGTTCTCCATGACTTCCCCATCCCGGAGGTGTGGGGAAGAAGTCCTCAGGGTGATGATTTGACGGGGATTGTCCTCTCTCCCTTGAACTTGTGAGATTTCCTTACCCTGTCTCTCTCCCCCTCATGGCCTCGTCTAGATTTATCCCAGGGTCGGAGGATCTACTAGGGTCCATCTGACCCAGAGTGCTTGAAGGGACTCCTACTGAAGTGCCTTAGTTGAAGGCATCAGTGCTTGGAGCACAGGATGGGGAGCAGTAGAGAAGAGGGTGAGAGTGGCGTTGGTGGAAGCAACATGGGCTCTGAGCATCCCTGTGTGTCCTCCGTGAGTTTTGCTGAGCATGCGTGGTCCTGGCTGCTCTGATGCTGGGCCATTTCTCAGGGCTGTGATTGCAGTGAGCAAACTTGGGGCATGAGTGAGACTCTAGACCAAAAAAGAAGCTGGCTCACTGCTCACAGTGTCAGCGTTGGCTCTCCCAAGCTTCGCATTCCTCAGCTGTGGTAGAAACCCACTGCAGGGAAAGCATCCACCTGAGCCTCTCCACGTTACCCCCGCCCCCTCAGGATGTGGGGGACAAGGATAACTGACAGAACACCAGGGTCATACTGCTTTCTGTATTGTATGGAAGTCCTTTGTCTCTGATCCAGGAGATTCCTATCTTCTGTCAGCATCTTCAAAATAGCAACCGTGCTAGGAGCTTATTGGCTGCAAGCTAACTCAATTGGCTAAGTTGTAAACAGGGTAAAAAATCTCAGATCTTGACAAGTAGCTGCTTTGCTCTGTCCTTATCTCCTAGTCTTCTGGGGGGAAAGAGGTCCTGGGTACCTAGCTGTTCATAGTCATTATTGCAATTTGCTTCATAGTGATAATTGACCAATGTATAGAAAACCCGATGTTTACAAAGCAACTGACCATAGAATTTTGACACTGACACTTTGAGGTCAATGTCATTATCCCCATTTCATAAATGAGGAAGCTGAGATTCAGTGAGATTAGACAATAGCCAAGGGCACTCAGCTGGTATGTGGCAGCATAGGGACTTTGACCCTGGCACTGAGAGAGTCCAAATCCTATGTTCCTTCCTCTTGACCTTGATTCAAGGTGGGTAAGGACAGGAGGGAGGGTACCCTGTGAAGCGGGCAGGGGGTGGGGAACAGGCGTTCACTGTATAAATCTCAGAGGCACCTGAAGGCCGTTTTGATGGACACCCCTTCTCCCCCTCCCACCTTGGCCAGCCTTTCCCTTCTGACCTGAGGTCAAGGTCCTAGCTCCAAGCATGCTGGGATTTTCTCAACAGCCCTCACTCTGTCTCTGGAACTTTCCTTAGTTCCTGCTTCAATTTTGTGCCTCCCAGCTGAATCATTTTCCTTTCTCTCAGTGCTTTTAGGATTTTAAAATAAGTGAACCTACAGTCATTTCCACCACAGGAAGCCAGGCAGCCTGGCTCCCCCTTGGGACTCAACCATTCACCAGCTCTGCCACCCCGGGCCAGTGATTGATGGAGGCACTAAGAGGGCCTGCCTCAGATGGGTGCCATGGGACTGAACCAGGCCATGCAACAGAGAGCCCAGCAGAGAACTTTCCATCACTGCCACAAGAATTATTCCCCCCTGTTACAGGAATACCTTGCACATCATCATTCAAAGGACTCTGTGGGGCATCAAAGGAAGGAGAGATGAGAAGCAGGTGACAGGGTGTAAAGGAAAGGGAGATGAGGGAAGTCAGAAACCTAGCTCTGGGCCCCAGAAAGCACCACTCACCGCAGAACCATCATGTAGAGGGGGTTGTGGGAGATGCAGGCTATCAGGGCCACAAAGGAGATGAGGAAGATGGTCGGGAGCAGGAAGTGGGCGCAGGGGATCGGGCACGACCCCGTCTTTGCTGAAGCAGATCCCCCGGTCACGCAGCTGCAGTTCAAATAGATCTTGAAGGGCAAGGGAGGATACAGGGAGGAGAGTTACCATCACGATCTCACCTCTGCGCACTTCAAACATCCACACCAGCTCTTGCCAGAGAGTCCCTCTGGTTTGAACCCCTCTACCCTCCAGGGAAGAGGCTGAACTGGATTTGGAAGCTGAAGAGGAGACCAAGTAGGTTCCAAGGTGCCCCAGGGAGTTCCACTTCTCTCGATGTCTGGGCCACAGGAACCATCTTCAGCGAAACCAGCAGCCATTGTGGGCTGGCCTCCCACAGTTACGCCCACACTCAGATGCCCAAGATGCACCACCAGGCAAGGCCCATGCAGCTTGGAGCCAGAGGCCTGGGAGGGCTCTCCTCAGGACAGGGTCACCCCAGGCCCAGCTGTGCTGATTGTGCAGCTACTGCTTTTGCTGTTTGTGTGTTTTCTGTGGGGGAAAGTATCAACAGCAGGAAGTGGGAGCACATGGAATTGCCTGAGCTCTGCATCTCTTAGGGCTTTGCAGGAGCTTCCTGCCTGCTAGGAATTCTCTCTGCCTATCAAGGGACTCTAGAAGAGGTCCTCGTCCCAAGTCTGCAAGTCTGTAGGGCTCAGTCGTGTTACACAACTCAACTTTGGTGGCCACTACTTGTCTGATGGTCTTCACCTTCCTTCCTGCAGTGGCTGATGGCCCAACCCCTGACCTTGTGTTACAGCAGTGAAGGGGCCACTATTGGAACGAACGAACTGGTATGCTTTCCCCACTGCACAGTGGAAATGATGTACCCTCTTTACCTTGGGCTCCTAGGAAGCTCAGAAATATGTTATATATCATGTTGTAATATTTTTTAAAACGTATGAACTTTTTCCTTTATACTTCCCAATATTTTCCTTTAGTATATTTTTAAAATATAGGGTTTCCCCCCTTTTAATTTGCTATTTTTCCCCTTGATACTAGGCTAATGGATTTTTTTTATCTTGATGGTACTTATGCTGTTATTGGAAACTTTTCAAGATTATTTCTGGAAGTAGATGAGTCAGAGGTAAGTAAATAAAGATAAGGAAACCACAAAAGCCACTGCAGACTCCTCCAAGTTGAAGGCAGGTGAGGAAGCATCTTGTCCAAGCCCCTCATCCTCCCTATGTCTAAGAACCATGTTCCTTTGCCTATCGAGACAGCTGGGAAATAGTCTAATTCTGTCCCCCCAGAGGATGGTAAGCGGGGGCCTGCCAGGCCCATGCCCTCCACAGAGGCTAAAGGGAGCTGGCTCACTCCTTTCCTTAGGAATCCTTTTGTAACAGTGGAGACTTCCATTGCTCTTAAGAGAAAGAACATCTAAGTGCTAAGCCTGACCTGTCCAACTCTGGCCCAGGTGGGCATGACACTCCTCCATCGGCACTCCCCTGCCCTTTCTCTGCTCCTACTGCCCAGCCTGTCCAGTGCATTCACACCTGGGGCCATTTTGCATCTGCTGTTCCCCCTACCTGCAATGCTCCCATGATTCCCAGGTTTTCATAGGTTCTCTTTTGCTGCCTGCTCAGTTTTAACCAATGCCACCTTCTCAGGGAATTCCCCAGGCACCCTCTGTCCCACTAAGTCTCTCCTCGACATGAATTACTGTCTAAAACTCTCTTGTGTCTTTATGGAACAGATGAAAAGTCCAGGAGGGCAGGGACCTTGTCTTCAGTACCTGTGGCTGTGCCCAGAGTCCACTATTTGTTGAATAATGACACAAATGACTTAAGTTGGTTTGCTGTTAGCTGATCCTGAAAGGCCCGGAGCTACAGTGCTGAGTGACCTTGTTGGACCTGGGTCCATCTTTAGCTGACTTTGGGCTGTCGGCATCTGGCCATGACCTCTAGGACAGGGGAGGAGGAGAGAGGGCTGACAGGGCCCAGAGGAGGCCAGGAGGCTGACAATGAGTCCCAGAGCCCAGGATGGGTCTGCAAGGGAACACATTGAGCTCCAAGATCCTGTGGGGGTTGTGCCTGTCCCTGGGGACCCCAGCTGTCCTTACCACTTGCTTGGAGCCTACAGAGCTCATGTTGATGCCGCTGCAGCCGGCATGGCAAGGAGAGATGTACTCAATCCCATTGTCTCCGCAGACAGGATGGAAGATGGAATCCGGGCACGAGCAGTCCCTGCGGCAGGCCAGAGGCTGCGGACGTATAGAACTTGATGTGCTGCCAGCAAAACAGGAAACGAGGAATCAAACAAAGAAAGACCAAAGGAAAGAAAAAGAACAACGCTACACTCCAGCCCAATGTGAGTTCCTGGCCTGCTTAGTGTGCCTGTGCGTCTCTGTTTGTCTTGGGTCAGTGCCACCCTGGGATCTAAATTATACCTATGGGAGCCAAAAGTGAATCTGCCACTGTTGGAGGGGTCACGACATCTCCATTTCTTCTGACATTTGGAGCCCAAACCCATAATTACACAGTTGGAGAGGTCTGGTCAGCAAACCCCCTACAGTAGGAGTCAAAATAACCAAGGAAGCTAAGATTCGGAGGAGAGAAACAGCAGCTGTAAGAGGAACATCGCAGGTAGCTTTTGCTCTCCTCCTCTTCCAGCTGTATTAGGGCTGACGGCAGAGACTGGGACCCTTGGAGGCAACTGGGGCTCTTGTCGGCTGCCCGTTCTCTGGGTCAACCTGGGCATTGCTCAGGTCATCGCATCCCCTGAACTCCATTCAGGGGGCTCTCACAGTCTGATCTTACGTTCCCATCCTGACTCGGATCTGATATTCATGATCTTCTTTGGGGAGGGTTGAAAAACCACAGTCCAGAGCTTCACTAAAGTAATAATACTAATGATAGTTACAGTTTATGAGGCATCTCTCAAGTGCCGGGCGCAGTGCCCGGGTGCTTTTCATGTAGTCATGACAGTCAATCTACCATTAACGGCTCACCTTTGATGACGGATGAAGAAACTGAAGCTGAGATAAGTAACTTCCCCCAACTAGGAAAGGGCACCGTAAGTGGCTTTCAGGCCAGTCTGATGGCAAAGCCATGTGCTAACTTCCCAGTGAAAATCCCCAAGGGGCTCAAAGGTTTCTGGGCTTCTCTCCACCCACCGTCAGCCTGCAGAGAAGCAGTGCATTGCCCACCCAGAGCCACCCTCCCATCCCTTACGGGGCTCTCCTTCCCCTACCAAAGACAGGAGGTAATTTCAAACGGAAAAGTGGAAACACCGCAGCTGAAAGGTTTAGCATCTTCAAATCTTGCAAAATCCAAAAGAAAAGGCCAATTGACATAGGACAAAACAGACACTCTCCTTGCCTAGCATCCTGCCTCTCCCAGGGCTCTAAAGCCCCTCCTGAACATAAAGCCAGACTCCAAACTACGACCCATATTGCTTTACAAAAACTGACAGACATGCCTCTCCTGCCCTCCTCCTCACCTGTCCTGATTTTTCAAGTGTGCCATCTCTTTTATCGTTCTTCTCCAGATCTTTTCAAATCTCCTCTTATCTTTCTTCAGCTGTTCAATGAGACTCTGTAATTCTGATGCTAAAGATAGCTTATTTCCTGGTTCCTGGGGCTCAGGTTGGTCCTGAAACCAAACTAATTAGTTTTGGGTGCTTCTTAAAAAGCAGAACCCTAACCCTGACTGCTGGTGGCCCACTAGGACCCTTTGATCATGTCTCATAGTGGAACGTGTATTTAAGGCCTGATTTTCTAAGTTTCCGTGTGAGAGATCAAATCAAAAGTGAACAGGAGAGAGGACAGGAGAGGGGGCAGAAAAGAAGCCCTACGACAGTCGGATTCAGGCCCTGGCTTTAGCAAAAGATCTCTCTGCACACTTTATTCCCCTTACCTAGGGGGGTAGACCTCGGCCACAGTGGGGGTGGAGCATCCCATGAAGAAGAGAGGGGCACAGAGGATCATGGAGATGGTGATGATGGTGGCAGCCACACGGGGGATGGTTTGCAGAGAGAAAACAAAACGCTTCATGAGGATTCCTCCAAACAGCATCCCTAAGGCGGCCGCAGGGAGGTTTACGGCACCTGCAGGGGAGAGACAGAGCTGGTCTGTGTGTTGGGCCTGGGAGCTCTGAGCTGGACCCCCAGGAAGGGAGCATGGCTTCAGGATGAAACACTGGACATGTTAAATTATCATAGTAATTGCTGGCATGAATTAAGCACTTATTGTTTGCCAGGCATATCTAGAGAGTTATCTTCACTAAAGCATAATCCTGCCTGTGCCAAAAATAAAGTGCAACCTTTGCAACCTAAGGGATGTGCATTTATTAAGCACCTTTCACTACCTGAGAAGGAAAAAAAAACAGAGTTGTTGTATCTGCCTCCACTGCCAAGTCCATTTTCTCTCTCTCTCTCTCTCCTGTCCCTGATGATGTCAGCTGGGAGGCTGTCAGACTTCCAGCCCCTGAACAGGGAGGAAGGCAGCCCCCAGCCTCCACCCACTCCTGAATGGAATAATGAGAGCCCCAGAAACCTGCCAAGAACATTCTAGATTGCCAACCAGGAAAAATGTCCTTAAAATGTTTTCTCCTGGGCAAGTCCTTCTGTCTCCTGTCTGTGTCCGGTCTGGTCTCTCCCTCAGCCAGAGTGGCCCCAGGCCCGCAGCCCCCTCTGGACTAACCAATGAGAAAGTTGGCATAGGCCGCGGAGGCGCCATACTGCTTCTCCAGGAACTTGTTGAGGAACGTGGAAAGTCCGGCGATGACGGAGGAGAAGGTGCACTGGGCCAGGACCACGAGCATGAAGAGCGGGTTCATCAGGAGCCTCATGAAGATGCGGGGGAACCCTGCAAGTAGACTGCTGTCAGGGCCCAGGCGACCTCGAGACCAGCCACCATCCCACTCTGAGGAACCAAGAGTGCAGGACCAGACTAGGGCCACACAGCCACGGCGGCTCCTACAGAACATGCTCGAGGGCTAAAACCAGGCTGTGTCTAAAAGAAATCTGGGATTAACACGGAAAACTGTCTCCTCCCAAGACCGCCACCTCCACATGCAGGGAGGAGGGACAGGACGCGGGGGTCAGACTTCACAGTGCAGTACAAACTGCCTCTGCCTACAGACCACCTGCTTTTAATGTCCCTTACAACACACCTGACCACCTCCCCCACAACCACTCAGAGCCAGCCCACCCAGGGCGGGGGGGGGGGGCGGTTGTCAGTTACGTTTAATGAAATCCATGAGGGAGCCTCTAGACTTGGCTTCTTCCAACTTCCTCGCCTCATCGACTATGGCAGGAGACCTCTGGAGGCAGCAAAAGGGGTGAGCATTAATGGCCCTTCACAGAGCCTGTGACTCCTTGGACTCAGTGGCTCAAGGATGGTGTCTGTCTGAGAAAGTATCCAGAGCATGTGCCCCGGAAGCAAACACCACCTGCGCTGCAGAGAGCCTGGTGCCTTGACCGCAGTGCCTCTGCACCAAGGTCTCTCCTGATACCTATGGCCACATTATTTCATGTCTRACTTTCCCCATGACCGATGCCAAAGGTGTCTTCCTGGATCCCAGCTCTTGTCTGTATGTCATGGCTACACTTCTCCCCTATGCTCAGATTTCAGGGGGCTGCCAGCTTCTAGGACACAGGGATCTAGAATGTCCCCTGTTTTCAGATCTCCATTTCAGTCTCCTCTCTGGGGTCCCTGCTTCCTCCTGGGCCCACAGGGCAGTCCTGCTCCAGGCTCTTGCTCTGTCCCTGAACTTTGCCTACACCTTCTGGGAACCCAAGTCCGTGAACTTGCCTCTTCTGAATGCAGCAGCCCCGCCCGAGGCCCCAGTTCCAAACCACTGCACAGATGCCAGGTCCCTGAGTGCTGTCACTCTTAGGGTCCTAAAGGGGATTGCGTCACCGGTGACAGATGCTCCCATCCACTGCAATGTCTGGCTCCTCATCATTTCCTTCCCAGGTAAGTAATCTAATTATCTTGAGTATTTTAACCAAGAGAAAGCTTTGGTACAAAGCAACTTGCCCAAGATAAACTGGCCAGTTTATAAGCAGCAGAGTTGTGCTCAAACCCAGATCTGTCTGACCCCCAATCCACCAGGACATGCTGCCAACCTCAGGAATTCTTCCCCACTCCAAGCCAAGGTCCTCTTCCCCTGCCCCTCTTCCCACAGATGGGCCCAGATGTCACACGCCTCATTGCCAAACATGGAGCTCCATATCTGGCTCAAAATCTGGGCACAAACACAATCTCCTTCCAACCAGATCTCTGCCAAGTCCTTCTCAGTACCCCTCCAGGAACGTCTGGCCTTGCCCTTGTCCCAGCGCTCTGACTGCCACCGCCTGATCCTCAGTGCATTCTCCCTCTCTCACCTGTGCCTCTTCACGTCTCTAGATTTCATTCCATCCTGCCTCCCCAGCCTCAATCTAGCTGCCACATTGCCACTCAAGTGGTCACCCAGTCACTGAAGTGCCCAGACAAGTTCAGAACAAGTTTTGGGCCCTCAGCCTCACGTCCTCCCCCGAATCTTCTCTTCCCTGTCCTCTGTTCTCACTCTCCCTGGATTTCTGTCCCCAACACATATGACCAGCAGATGCATAGATGGTCACCAGTTTATGTGAACTCAGTGTTTTCCAGACCTTGGAACTCTCATGATTTTTGAGATGCCAACATGGTAAAGGAACATGAATGACGAGGCTAGACATCCACCAGTCCCTTCACCTCTCAAAGCCCCTAAGATGCTCTACGTCATTGAACTTGTTCCTGTTTCACCCAGAATTTTCTTAGCCCGCTGCTGCTTCTCATCTCTTTTTTCTCCTTCCACACCTGCATCTCTTTCTTAAACTCCTATTGGGTAGAGCTGTGGCCTCCAACAACTTACCTCTTTTCCTGTGGACATTGTTCGAGGAAAGAAAAAGAAGGGGAAAGAGGTGAGAACCAAGAAGCCTGAAGAAATGAGCAGGCCCAGCCACCAGGCTCCAATCCATCGAGGGTCACCTGGGCTCAAGTTAACTGCAGCTGGAGAGAAACCAAAGAATACAGGTGTTTGTTGAATAAATGCATAAGCTCACCTTACTGGAAAAAGAAACTCTATTCAGGGTTTTTTTTTGTTTTGTTTTTGTTTTTCCTTTTTATTATTTTTAACTTTTTTTCTCACAGGACAAGCCTGGAGACAGAGGTAGAACCTGGGTCTGTAGATTTCTTTTCCAGGTCATTCTGCTCTTGCCAAAGAACTGAGGATACTGTACATGAAGCTGAACAGCAGAAAAGCCCCAGGCTGAAGGGAGCATCCCCTTCCCCTCACTGGATTTTATTCCCAGCTGTTTTATTCCCAGCTGATATGGGGGTGTCTTTCACTGAGCAAGTCTATGAAGTAGGAGTTACATCCATTCACCTCTAACCTATCAGAAAACTGGAGTTTGAGAGGTCAAGTCCCTCGTCCAAGGTTAAAGTCAGTGAGTATCATTTCATGGGTCAATTTCAAACCTAAGAATTCCTGGTGACCAAGGTGTACAAACCTTAACCATGAGCCATCTTAATCTTAAACACTGAACTCTACCACACCCCGGCTTTATTACTCCCTAAATAAAAGAGGCCTCATAATGCTTAGGAGCTAGAGGAAGCAGACATTAACAACGTGGCCTGCCTGGCCCCCAAGGGAGAAGCTCCTCCACATCTAGAAGTCTGCCATTGTGTTTCTGAAGGAGAAGGTGGCAGAATGGCTCACAGTCACACAATGACAGGCATCCCTGGGCACTGATCTGGGTATGCAGGGAGCTCAGTTGCTGGTTTCTTTGGACAGCCAAGTATCAATCAACTCAGGAAAGGCCAGCAAAGGGCACAGATGGCTCCATCCAGTGGCATAAAACTCCCCTTGGTTTGCCACTTCCTCTTAAATGTACAGGCAGATGACACTGTGGTCTGACAGCCCCCAGGGATAGTCATCTAGGCTCTGGCACACGGGTGTGTTTAGCACCTGCCCAGTTCTTTCTGAGATGGACAGGCCTTGCCCTGGGTGAATGGGCACTGATGTTGCGGGGTGTGTTCTTCCTGAGGGTCTGACTCGGTCCTGCCTCCCAGTACCTTTAGCGAGTGGGAACTTCCCATACCACCCCCCACCTTGCACTCTCTACTCTTTCCACCCTCTTGGCTCTGATGGGGGGTTTCATCCACCTGGGTAGGCCTTCCTTCTCATGACTACTGTGCAAATGTCCCACCCACCCGCCATGGCTCCATGCAGACATCATCTCCCTAGAAGGCCCTCCCCAGTTGTCTCATGCAGGAGCTCTCTTGCCTTTGAACTTGGAAAGCACTTTGCCCATCTCTCTTCCACCCTTCTCTGTCTTGCAGAAGGCTCATTGGGGTAGAGCATGTCCACAAAGGCAAGAATCCCTGGCTGGATGCATGCTGAGGCCAGCTTTCTGAGTCCTGGTGTTCATATCTTTGGACTTTACTTTCTCATTTAAGGTATCCGTGACTTAGTCTATACCATTTTTTTTGAAAAATGCAAGCTCACATCTGCTGATCTCTTAATATCTATCAGACTCACTCTAATCTTTAGAAGATCTCTCCTACTATTATTGGCCCAGTTTTACAAATGAATAAACTGAAGCACAGCAAGGTGGAGTTACTTGCCTAAGATCACTCAGCTAGGAACAGGTGGAAACAGGATGAGACACAAAACTAGTGCCCACCGGTAAAACACCACGTCACGTTCTTCTGGATGTGTGTCATTATCATAAGGAATGTCTTGGGCAATGTTTCTTTTTTCCTTCAGCAGAGTTCTTATCAAATATTTTGCTTTTAAGCAATAAAGCAACTTCTGAAAATCAAATAACCACCACCAAGATGGGCAGGTGAGGTGATAACAGGTGGGGTCCTGCCTTGGGGTTCAAGGTTTCCTACTGCAGAAACCTTATGTGAGTGCATGCTCCATGGAACAGGTGATGAGGATGGGTGTCTTCTGCACATGCTCACCTGTGTCAACCCTGCCGTAATCCACAAAGATCTGCAGCATGACCGAGCCCAGCAGGTACCCGAAAGCTGGTCCAAATACAGCGATGGCAAACAAGATGGCTGGAAATGGAAGCAAAGGAAAAGAGTTTGAGGGGGGCTCAGAGGGTTTGGCAGCCCCAGGCTKCCAAGCCCAGGGGGATCCCTGAGATGTCACCATCTGTCCTCTGGACCTAACAAGCCCACACTATCTCCCACTGACGAGGCCAGACCACTCGAGATGCCAAGACACACAGAACCAAATGGGTTTCTCCTCCAGCCAACTACCAGAGACCTGCTGTCCAGGAAGGAAAATGACCTTAGTATTCTAAAATGCCAATCTGGGTGTATTGATGGGGGCACTCCCTGCAGGTGACAGTGCTGGCAGGAGCTTGAGGGGTCTAGGGCCTGTGGGTGTGGTCTGTCTGGTCTGGGTTATGGGTCTCCAGGAGCTCGCTGTGGCTTGCTCCAAGGGAAGGATCTGGGCATGCAGAGGGTCACTTGCTATCTGTTTTCTATGTGCTTGTTTGAGGTCAACCTGCCTCTAAGTGGATAGCTCAGAGGACACATGTTCCTGGACTATGCCTGGAGGACTGGACAGTGATAAAGCTGCTGTTGATTCAGGATCAATAGTCGGCACTCATTTGCTGTGTTCTGGCCAAAGTCAGACCTCATTTCAGTCCCAGGACCTTGGCAAGTGCTCCAGCCAGGCCTGACTCTCCCCACAGCCCTCTTCAAGCCCAGGACTCACAGATATACAGGGGTGAGTTGTTGGGTTCTGCAAAGTCATCCACATAGGAGATCCCAAAAGGCTGAATGGGCACCGTCCCAATGCCGGCCAGCAGCTGGGCCATCACCATCAGGCTCCACATGCTGCTGGTCTCCTTCCGAGTGTCCTGCATGGTGCTTTGGCACTTAGTAGGGGGCAGGTCCTTCCAGTGCTTCTGACAGAGATCATCTTGGAAGCTGCTGCTGTTCCCTGTAAGGAGAAGCTCTGGTCACCACAACTGGATCCACCAGCTGACCTCTAATCCTGGCCTTTCTCCCATGATGTTGGGGAAGAACCAAACCAGGGCCAGAGGCTGTGCTGGCAGAGAGAACATGGCTCCCAAGGATCACTCCTTCTGTTTAKCTGGCAGAAGGGACCCTAGAGACAAAGGTGAGAGAAAGGCAGAATGTGGGTCCCATTCCAGGAGGAAGAGGGAGCTGCTTCTCATGGTGTCATGCTTCCTCCCGGGGTGGTGATGAACAGCTGAGCATGGTCAGTGCCCAAAGGGTCACCCACCTGGAAAAGGGGAACCCAGGATCAAAGCTCTAGCTTGTTGGCCTGCACTACCCCTGGGGCTCTGGGTCCCCAGCATTCTCTTCAGCAGGACAGAGGTCATTCTGTCCCACAGAAGACAGGATCCCCTCCAGCCTTGATTGTGTCCCTCCTGGGTCATGACCTCTAGAACTTTCACTCCTTAATGAGCCCAGCATCAGGTCATACTGGAGGACCTACTGCCAAAGACATTAAGTGACCTTGCCATACCTGGGCAGAATCCAAGAACCACAGGCCTCTGTCCCTCTGAGACCTTCTAATGCAACTTCTTRTATCATAGGTGGGGAAGCTGAGGCTGCATCAAAGGAGCCTCGAGGCTGTACCTCGAGGTCCTTGTGGGAGGGCCTCTGTGTGGCCTGTGGGTACTGCAGTTCCTGTGACTGTGGATCTGGCCAAGTTGAGCAGTGCTTCTATGCCTCTGTTCTTTTTGGGGGGTTGTGGGGGGTACCGGGGATTGAACTCATATGCACTCAACCACTGAGCCACATCTCCAGCCCTATTTTGTATTTTATTTAGAGACAGGGTCTCACTGAGTTGCTTAGCACCTTGCCATTGCTGACGCTGGTTTTGAACTCGCAATTCTCCTGTATCAGCCTCCCGAGCCCCTGGGATTACAGGAGTGTACAATTGAGCCCAGTTTATGCCTCTGTTCTTAATTGGGCCCATACTAAGCAATCAATATTGTATCCCCAAGTCCTTGAGAGTTTTAAGGGCTCCTTTCTACAAGACCCCTTTAATTCCTGCCCTCTTCTGGCCAGGGGAAATCACTGACATCATGGATCTGAATAACACTTGATCTTCATTTGCAGAACTCCCAGAGTGGGTGTGGCCCAGAGCTGGGAGGGCTTCAAAGTCCCATGGAGAAGATAAGTGAGGGCCACAGACTTGATCTGCTTCCATATTGGATTCTCCTCAGCTCAGGGCTATCCCAGATATTGTGACTGGGACTGGGGGGGGTCTTCCCTCCTTCTCCTCTCCCACATATGCCTCATCCAGCGTGGCCCCACCACTGCCTGTCTCTACCCTGGTATATGAGATGAGACTTGCTTGAAAATTGCTGGCCCAGGGGGCTCCCCTAGGGCATCAAGGGCAGTCCCAGGAAAAGCAAAGCTGAGCAGGCCTTCTGTTTTGGTCAAGATCATCTAGACCCTGTACCATCTGTGGGCAGGAAACTGAGCACCCTGGCAAGATGCCAGTCCCCAGACATCGGTTAGTGTTCCTCTGTACCTTCCTCCTCCATTGCATTCACATTATCCCACTTTCCAATGAAGAATTCAAGCAGTGGTCTAACTCCAGGATAAAATAATCGACAGCCTCGTAGACACAGAGATAGGATATAGCTTATTAACTTGGAAAGACACTACAACATCTGGTTAACCCCCAAACTAACTAGTAGTAGCTTGAAGAAGAATATGATCCCTAAGTTATAAAACTTGTGTGCACTACCTGAATATGGAGTCAAAACCTTTGGAAGACTATGAGCTCTATTCTATGTGATGGGATAAATCCATCTGTTTGGTCTGCCTCAGTTTATTTTCTCATTTTTCTTCAATGAACACATGATGATTTTTAAATCAAGCATGCACACGCATGCACACACACACACACACACACACACTTTAAATTTAAAAAGGTTTTCATAAATGAACATGCTCCAAATTTAACAATGGCTCCCTCATTTCTTGGTTCATTTTCATTGCCCTTCTTCCTGATGTTGGCCCTAGGCCTGCACAGGTGTGGGCTGACTTTCTGCACCCATCCTCCCCACTTGTCACCTCCTCTTCCCTGGGGGAGGGTGAGCCTTTCTCCCCTGGCACAGACTTTACTGTAGAGACTCAAGTTCCAGCATCAGGATTTTAAAACCTCCCTGGACAGGCTGAGCCAGACACTGTGCTTAGTCTGTGATATACATTGTCTCCTGCTCACAGATGTTCTTAACCTACCTAAGGTGGCTGGTTTGGGGGGCAGAGCTGGGATTTGACTCTGCAGGTATCTGACTCAAAGTCCACACTGAAACCAAGTCTGAAAGGTAGCTTTGAAGACAGAGCACACATTTTTCAGGGATGGGAGCAAAAGGCTTCATTCCTGATCACATTCAAACATAAGAAATYTTTGACCTCTGAAAGTACCTGGAACCTTATACCTACTTCTTCTCAGGCAGAGGTGTCCTAGAAGGGGGTTGGCTATTGGCAGGAAGAAATTTGGCAATAAGATACAATAAATACACAGCATAGGGAGTTAAGAAATTGATTATACCTATGTAGCTAGGTAATCTTCAGCAAATTTCTAAACCTCTCTGAGCCTTAGTTTCCCTTGGAGTAGAGACCATAAGGTAGCTCTATAAAGGGATTGCATGAGGGACCATTAAGACCTAGAAGGCTATGGTTCCAGAAAGAGGCCTGGGCATATGAAGTTGAAATTGCCAGTCAGTAAGAAGGCCTGGTGTCTGTATCTGCACCCCTGAAGGAAGGCTGGGGTGGCTCAGCAATGCTGAAAGGTTCCCATCCTCAGGACAGTCACTTTAGTCTAGAAGCACATGATTATAAATTGCTTCTGCTGAGACAGAGCTCCAGGGGCTGTCTGATCCACYCCCACCCCACTCAGGGATCCTTCCACCAACACTGACTGGTATCCAACACCCAGATCTGGGAATGGTGCTGGCAGGTCCCCAGGGGGAAGTCCTGGTGATTGTGGGCAAGCAAGGCCAACAGATGTTGGAAGGACTGTACTGGGAGCCTGGGATGTGGGTTCTGGTCTTGAATCTGTGACTTCATAGGCCAGCAATTTTGACTTTGAAAGGCCTTAGAAAGTTCTAGGGAGAGGCCAAGCACAGCAGAAGGTGGGAGGCTGCTGTTGAGCCAGGTGGGCAGAGGAGGTTCACACTCCTGGGCTGTCCTCAGTGCATCAGTCTCACAGGCACCTCTGGGCTGCTGGCCCAAGGTGAGAGGCTATCCCTTACCACAGGCTGCGCTAGTCCTTACAATGAATGGCAAGTACCATGGCTTCTGTGCCCTTTTCAACACCAGATGTGCATATGYAGGACTGAGGACCGAGCAGGCTGCCTGGCCTGGGAAGGGCTCAGATATTTAACACAAACCCACCTGACCCAGCGTAGCCAAATGGCCCAACACAGCTGCATGGTCACTCAAATCAGCTGGCATGAACACTCCTCTGCTCACTTCCCTGCACCAGCTTTGACCAAATCAATGAATTCTAAAGAGCCAGCATATATACTTTGGGTCTATAAATAAATGGGCTGCTGCCAAGTTTTTAAATGAGTATTTCTTTCCAAATATTCAAAAAACTTTTCAGGTATATTTTATAGGAGGAAATGAGCAAAATCAGAGTTCCCTAAAACCTCAGGCTGATGTCAATTGAAAATGTGTTTGGCTGAGCCACCCTTGGTGTGACAATAGCTCTCTGTGGCGTGTTGCCTCAGAGGCTAATGGGGTGTCAGGACCAGATCTAAATGATATTCAAGAATAGTTTAAGGTCAAATAATGTTATGGGTTGATATGAGGTRTCCCCCAAATCTCCTGTGTTACTGTAGGAGGTGAAGTGGTTAGTTTGTGAGAGCTATAACCTAACCAGTGAATCCTAATTTGAATGGACTGGGTGGTTGATAACTAGTGCAGGTGGAGCATGGCTGGAAGCAGCAAGGCACTGGGGGTGTGCCTTTGGAGATTATATCTAGTTCCTTGGCTCCTCTTTCTCTCTCTGCTTTCCAGCTGACATAAGCTAAGCAGTTTTTTTTCCACCACACCCTTTTGCCATGGTGTCCTGCCTCATCTCAGGCTCACAGCAGTGGAGTCTGCCAATTATGGACTGAACCCCTGGAACCGTGAGCTCAAAATAAACTTTTTCTTCTCTAAGTTCCGTATTTTGGCCAACAGAGATGAAAAGGTGACTAATACGAATGATAATACTGAGAGAGGGGTTCAAAGAATTGGCTCCGAATCCCAGCTCAGCCACTGAAAGACTGTGCCTAGGTTCAAGCACCTTATCCCCTCAGCTGCAATAGGGATGATGCCTGCTTCACAGGCATAAAGGGGGTGTGCTGAGTCCTGAAAAATACCTGGACCAAGATCCATTCATTCTTCAGTCATTCAGTTATTTTTGCCAATAGTGACTGGGTGGACCCTCTGCCTGAGTGGGAGATATCAAGGTGATGGAGAGGCCCAGGTACTTTTCATACAAACTTTTCAGTCTATTATGGTAGGCAGATCTTTAAAAAAAAAATAGGACAAAATTAGAAAAGGAAAAAAAAATCAAACTATCACTGTTGGCAGATGATATGATCCTACACTTAGAAGATCCAAAAAACTCCACCAGAACACTGCTAGAGCTAATAAACAAATTCTGCAAAGTAGCAGGTTACAAAAYCAACAAACAAAAATCAATAGCTTTCCTATACATCAGTAATGAATCCACTGAGAAAGAAATCAGGAAAACAATCCTATTTACAATATCCTAAAAAAACACCTAGCCAAGGAGATGGAGACTTCTATAATGAAGAAAGAAATTGAAAACACAAGAAGATGGAAAGACTTCCCATGTTCATGGATAGGCAGAATTAATATGGTAAAACAGCCATATTACCAAAAGCAATATACAGATTCAATGCAATCCCCATCAAAATACCTATGACATTCTTCACA